TATATTTAGCTGTTTTCCTTAAAATCTGAATTAAATGTCCTGTAACTGAACAAGAAGTTCACACGCACAGAGACTTTTTTTTTTTTCTTCCAGGGAAGGTCCCATATGTTGCTCAAAGGTGAACTAATGGGCTCTGAGAAACTTGGCAAAGACAGCATGTAAAGCTAATAACTGTTGAGAGAAGCCATTTCAGAGCTTTGGGTCTTTGTGCCAAAAGTTATTTTGGCACCTTACTTATATTAAAATCAATGTAATCCAGATCACTAAACACCTCAACTTTAATTACTCCTTTTGGAACCCTTTAATTATTCTTGAACTGCAGATATTAAAGTCACAGAAGGTCTTGTTTTTCATTTACATCACGTTTGTTGCAATAGATAGAGTAATTTAGCAGTGACAAGTCAAAGAGATACTCACAGGGCCTCCAGGAGATCCACGATCGCCTTTTATTCCTTGGGGACCAGGTGGGCCCTACACGGAAGGAAACAGATAAAGCAAATGATTTGATAAATAGATTAAAATTATAGGAAGTGTCATTAAGTTTCAGGCAGTTCAATGCTTGCATTTGGGCCCAGCCACCTTGAGGCTGAGGGAGAACTGAAGAAACCTCTCTTTGTAGCAATAAGGACCAGCAAAAACTTACTGGTGCACCAGGACCACCTTGTGGACCTGCAGCTCCAGGGGGTCCAGCTTCTCCTCTTAGACCAGGTGGGCCTCTTTCTCCTTTCCCACCAGGTTCCCCATTTTGGCCCTGTAGAAAAATCATATTGTTATATTACAACTCAACAAATGCAGATGGTATCACTGTGATGAGAAACCCTATCCAGCTACTCATCTGAAGGGTATTTATACGTTCAATTAAATGTGAATACAGTTGAACTCTATGGGTCTACCAATACAGGAAGCAAAGTATAAAGAAATGTTGCTCTATGTGTGACTGAGTACAGAAAGAGTATTAATGAATCAAATGTATGTAGCAGGTATGTATATTAAAGGGGTTACAGCAAGCCTTTCTGAGATGTGGATAAACTTAGAGAAACTAAAAACTGATAATCACATTCAATGCTTTGAAGTATTTATACTTACTGGAGCTCCAGGGAAGCCAGCAGGTCCAGGAAGACCCTGTTCTCCTCGTTCACCCTGTAGAAAACAACATATTAGCAATACATAGGCTTCACTTTACAAGTTAGAGAACACTTCCATGAATACTGCTGAAGTTTCTTTGTCTTATGAGCCTTTGGAGAAAGAAAAAACCAAACAAAAAAACCAAAACCCCAAACCAACAGGTGCTGCTGAGCTCTAGAAACAACTGTTCAGGAATTATCTGATATTTAGCTAAAGTGTGACAAACTGATCTCAGTTACATCTGTATAAACCTTGAGCACAATTCATGGTGTTCTCCAGATCCAACTGAGATCCAAATGTGCTGTTTTATCAATCTAAAAATAAATATAAGAGTATTTAAAAAAGTTTACTTAACTGTAAGACAAGATGGAAACAATTGTTGCTCCCATTCTTGCCCTGACCTGTCACTGCAGCCCTCTGACCCCTTTACAGTGTTAAAAGCACTGATTTTCTGAAGTCCTTAGCACCTGTAAACCCCAAGAGTCAACAGGAGCTGAATGCACTTAGTTTATTTTGTACTCAAGCCACATTGTGTTCCTGCTAAGAGTAGGTGCAACACTGATGTCTATACTAGGCCAGAGAAGCCAAGGTAAAGTTATACCAGAAGAAAAGTACTATCACTTACAGGACCACCACGGGAACCCATTGGACCTGGGGCACCTGCTGGACCAGTCTCTCCCTGTAAGGAACAAGAATGATTACTCGGTGTTTTTCTGCTTCCCATGAGACAGCCACCGGTGTGACTCTTTACAGCATCAAACATCATTATGGAGGATGCTTTACCTTATCTCCAGGTGGGCCGGCAGGACCAGGAGGACCGATGGGACCTACATTACCCTAAACAATTAGAAAATAAGATATTTTGTATCAAAATAAGACAGTGTTAATTCCTCTGTTTTGATCAATAGCATATATGTTTCAGTGTAAACAAGTTGCTAAAGATATTTAAATGGAAGGAAGTCCACAATGCCAGTGTATTGTTGCACATCGCGTTTTGGAGTGACACTCCGAGATCACACCATTTTGCAATGTGAGAGATCTCCAATTGACTGATCCTTTTTTTTTCCCCCCACCATCTAAACCTAATCCAAACCCACCTGAAGCTAGTAGGTCTCTTCAATGGTAGACAAAAAAAGTTACCCATTGCCCTAACTTTTCATATAGATAATTGGTCCATGTTTCTTTGGTATATGTTCAACATCTCTTGACTAGTTCCCTAACTTTTTTCTTTCTTGAAAATTTAATGCATACCTTATGGTTTGAAATAAATTTTTTATATGTCCTCCAACTCATACGAGCTGCATTTTTATATTTGTCATCCCTCATTATTTTGATGTATATACTGCTTGCATGTACTCATTATATATATATATATACATATTTCAAGTGTCTATGTGTATATTCTATATAGATGTATAAATGTATCATATATAGTAATCTGTAGAAGTATTCTATATGAGAATACTTACTATTATGATGTCTTTTTTGTGCTTCATTATAACCAGCATTTTCCTCATCAGTCATCTAGATTTAGGAAGCTAGTAACTTTTTTCTCTACTTTTGTACCTCCTTTCCCTCCAAACATTGTCCCAATTAATTGTAATCTTCCGCTTGCAAAAAATTCTATTATGTCTAGCTAAGCAGCTGTAATCACAAAAAACTAGGATTAAATCTAATTTAGTTTACGAAACCTGATTTGCAGTGCTGGAATGAAATACAATGGGATTAGTACTTTACCTCTCCTAGACAGTATTTGTTCACTGTTAAGTTTACTTATGTTCTAAGCACAGACTGTGTGAAGCTAACTGATAGACTGTTAGATGTTTAAAGACCACTCACTCTCTCTCCTCTTCCACCAGGAATGAAAAATCTGCACCTTTGCCACCAGGTTCTCCCTAGCAAGCATAAGCAAAAAAGCAAGCATAAGACAAGCGTGGGCGGGGGGGAAGAAGAATTAAAACACTACTGAGGAAAGGATCTCATACTGAAGGGCATCACAATAACCAGATTTCCTTATTGTGATCATACAAATCTAAAATTGGGGATGACTCTTCCCAGCATTCAGCATCAGACACTGAATACTTTGATGGAAAAAAAACCCAAACAAATTGATTCAAAATGGAGTCTATGCCAAACTTTGCCCATGGCATGAACTATTCCCATTGTTTATTAGCTTCATTAGAACTGTTGTGATGTAACCCCTCCCCCAAGAGATCTAGCACAGCAAAATATCTAGCATATATTAAACCAAGTGAAAAAATCCTATACTATATAGGAGCCGTATCACACCACTAAATCAACAGTACTGCTACACAGTCAGCACCGCTGAAATCAGGCCAAAAGTGAAGATGTGAACAAACCCAGTACCTTGTGGGAAGCTAACACTAAATTAGCATAAAAAAGGCAGATTGTGGGTGTTACCTTATCCCCTTTTGGTCCAGGACTTCCAGAAGCTCCTCTTTCTCCTGGCATTCCCTGTAAGCCAGGGGGTCCTGTGCCTCCAGGGGCACCAGGGGGTCCAGGAGGACCCTACAGAGTAACAAAAAATAATTAGGGAAAAAAAAAAAAAGAAATGAAACCTGATTGCTAGACATAATAGCAGGAAAGCAAGCAAGTCTGTGGGTACCTTGGCACCTTCTGAGCCAGCAGGACCTGGCGTGCCTCTTGCTCCAGAAGGTCCTGGAGGACCCTGTGCACCACGTTCACCTGGGACACCATTTTCACCCTGTGACAAAGAAACGCATTATCCTTTGTCTTCTGGTTCATAGTTTGTTAATTCATTCGTGTAATTATAGAAACATTGCTGTATGATTTACCTTAGGGCCTGGGAATCCGGGTCCTCCAATATCACCTTTTGGCCCCTGTTTATGAGAAAATAAATGCAAGTTATCCATGCACTTTACTAAGTAAATCTGCATTGTGATTGGCACCCTGTTTCTCTCTGCTATTCAGCCCTAAAATGAGACTTCTCTGCTCGGCAGAGTGCTGATAGCTGTCTGAATTTGGAAATGTAATCTAGAAAGAATTTCTCATGTATTTTTTTTTGTTACTTAAAAAAAAAGGAGTTCCTACTTACTGGTTCTCCAGGCTTTCCATTCTCTCCAGCTGGTCCTGGTCCACCAGGCAATCCCTACATGAAGGAACAGTATTATCATCCATGTTACATAGATAAATTATGCATTTTCCTATTTAGCAAATTTTTTTGACACAAAGATGTGTACCCAACTCATTCCAATCCTTTAGAAAAAGGAGAAGGTGCTAGAGGTTTTATGTGACATAATCTCCTGAGCTAGCTATCTGGTCTGCAATTATGAAATACTAAGCAATAACTTTTGTCAAGTGGTTGATCTGTCTTACTTCAAAATATGATGACATGCACCCTAATGAAAATGTTTAGATGCCTCTTTTTTTTTCCTTTCCTTTTTTTTTTTTTTTTTTGATGGGGGTGGGAGGGGTGTGAGAGTGTGTATGTTAGTCTATTAAAAAGAATCAGAAACCAATAAACACACAGCACCTGGAGGCCGGGTGGACCTGATGGTCCTGGTTCTCCTCTCTCCCCAGAAGCACCCTAGAATCAAACAAAAGAGAAAAAAAACCCAAATTGAGAACATTTCAACATATAAAGACCTCCACACCACCTCTAATCTATGTCTCCTTATCATGATCCGACAATGACATTGCACAATCCCAAAGACTAATGTATCTTGGTGTTCTGGTATTTGCTCTTTTCACTTCAGCAGTTAGATGTAATTCAGCAGACACATTTATACTTGATATTACTCTGAAATGCTATAAATGCTAAAGAAAGCAGTAACATGCTTCAATTTGAAAAGGTGGTAGATCCCCAAGAGCTCTAAATCAACTTTTCATTTCAACTTATACCAGTTATACCTGACTTGGATTTCTCCTAACAAAGTTTTGAGTATTAATTTATTAAAATAATGGCAAATGAGCTCTTTTACTTATCTTCCTAAAAGGAGATTTCTTTATATAATTAAAAATATCTTCCTTCCCCTAAATTCCCAGTCTCTATCTGTAGATGCCAGATCACCTTGGCAGTAACTGATAATTGCCTCTTATGGGACTACCACACTTACAGTAGGTCCAGGAGGCCCTGGGAGGCCAACATCACCATTCTTCCCAGCAGGACCCTAAACAAAGACAAAAATTAGGCTATGGTTATGCGGTGATACAATTTTCATAAGATTCACCAAATTAGTTGTAATTGATAATATGTCATTATTAAGTTATTACATTATTAAACAAAATGTTAATGAAACTTACAGGTGTTCCAGGCGGTCCACCAGGGCCTCTTTCTCCATTCTTACCTGGTGCACCCTTACAAAAGAGAAAGATCAGATTTAAAATACTTGTTCTGGTCAGTATACAATAACCTAAAGCTGCAGCATGAGATAGCCACACTATGGAGCAATTTCTTTTAACATTTGACTGATCAAGCATAAGCACAGGAGAAGTGGAGAAATCCCACTCACCTCATTGCCCTTAGGACCAGGGAAACCCATTACACCTGGTTGACCACGTGGGCCTGGAGGGCCAGGTGGACCAGAGCGGCCAGATTCACCCTGATTACCCTGGGATAAGCAGAAAAGAAATGAAGACACGGCATCTGTTAAGTGAAATAAATGAATATCCATGACTCATTAAATAGTGACTGAGGGTGAGATCAGGCTAGAGATGTTGTTCAGAACTTGTTATGTGTTCTGTATTTCAAATAAGCTTCTGTATACTCTGTATTTTAAATAGTAGTAAATGATGAGATTTACAGAATGTTATTACAATGAGACAGCATATAAAGTGCTCTGCTAATTAAAACAAACAAACAAACAAGATAATTAATGTGACTGTAGTAACAACCTGTCATGTGAATACTGTGGGATGAGGGTAAGGTCAGTAGGAGGACTAGTATAAAATACTGCACAATGTACATACTGGAGGGCCGGGTTTGCCGTCACTTCCAGGGCTCCCTGGAATCCCGGGCAAGCCCTGCAATTGAAAATAAAGTGTTGTTTTTCAGTTTAAAATGTGTAGTATTTAGTTACAACACATAAATATAAAGATATAAAAATACTTTTTAAACTACTTCCTTGATTTTTAACCTCTTTAATAAAGATTAAAACTCCCCCTATTTCCCTCCATCCCATTAAGGGGAAAAATTGGAGAAAGTTAATAAATTCTTCTGTTAGGAGTTTATTGCTTTCTCTGAGAAAAAAGGTATAAAAGGTAAAAAAGGTATAAAATCACTGTATAAAATCAAGGCATCTGACTCTAATCAATGTGCACAAAATTTGTATTCTTTCATTATTTGGGAAGAAAACTAATTTCAGATGGTAAAAATCAAGGAATGAAACAATTTTGACTATGTACCTCTACTTAAAAGCCACACAATTTATAACATATTTTAGTTGACTCGTTTTATATTTTTAAATATTATTTTTGTTATATTTTAAATCATTCATTTTCATTTCCAATAGATTTTTGTTTAGTGCCCAGAAGCCTGCAGTCAGGCTGACTTTTGACTTCAAGGTATTTGTTGTGAGCAGTTGCTAATTCTTAGTATAGCTCAGAGAATGTTGTTACATTCTGTACACATTACACAATAGGTTATCTCTGAAAATCTTCTTGATATGTACTATGAAAATCTGACCAACAGCTTATATACTTTAATTGCAAATAAGCAATAAATACTTAAGTATATTGAATCACATAAATTAATGTATAATTTAATTCTTTAAATGTTAAATTTAAGCCTAGTTAAATAATTTAAATATAAATATATTTAAATACAATAACCCAAATACATAGTAAATATAATAAACATTATGCATTTTATAATAAATTATAAAATTTGCTAAAATGTAAATAGATAATACAGAAAATCATCCCATGCTAATTCACATTAAAGCCGTATCTCATGATAGTGCATGGCATACTCTGAGAACTGGGGAGCATGTTCAGCTTCATCTAAGCTTCCTCATTCACTTGTGACAGACGATCTCTGAATGCCCCGTGTCTCTGCATGGTTATCTATTGCACTGTGAATGTATGTGCTCTACTTTAAAGAATTAATAGAATTTTTTTCTAATTGGACTCCTCTATTGTATCAGTTCAGATAAGGCATCTCTAATAGAGTTAATCTCATTTTATTGGAGATGTCCTGTCTTACTCTCATTCCAGGAAGACCTGGGCCTCCATCTTGTCCACGCTCTCCTGCAGGTCCACTGGGTCCAGGAGGACCTGGACTACCACGTTCACCTGCAGGACCCTGAAAAAGAGATGTTGAAATTCACAGCAAGGAAATCAGCATCATATTGAATCTGAAATTGTCCAGTCAAATTCAGATGGATTCTCCAGAAGTTTGGGTTTGGTCTTTTTTTTTTAGAGGAAGGCTTATACCTTTTCACCTGGAAGTCCATTGCTACCGGGCAAGCCACGGAAACCAGGGGAGCCCTGCCAAATAAAAGAACAAAATATAGATCATAGGCAATATGACTTATGTAATGGCAATTGTGTATTTTTTCTAAACTATTTACCATTAGACATATTTACTGAGTTCAGTTTGGGGCCCCTTGCTACTAGAAACACATTGAGGTGCTGGAGCATGTCCAAAGAAGGGCAATGAAGGTGGTGAAGGTTGTGGAGCACAAGTCTGATGAGGAGCGGCTGAGGGAACTGGGGTTGTTTAGCCTGGTGAAGAGGAGGCTGAGAGGAGACCTTAGCGCTCTCTACAACTACCTGAAAGGAGGTTGTAGCGAGGTAGGTGTCGATCTCTTCTCCCAAGTAACAAGCGATAGGGCAAGAGGAAATAGCCTCAGGTTGTGCCAGGGGAGGTTTAGATTGAATATTAGGAAAAATTTCTTTACTGAAAGGGTTGTCAAGCACTGGAATAGGCTGGCCAGGGAAGTGGTTCAATCACCATCCCTGGAGGTATTTAAAAGATGTGTAGATGTGGTGCTTATAGACATCGTTTAGTGGTGGATTTGGCAGTGCTAACTTAACGATTGGGCTTGATAATCTTAAAGGTCTTTTCCAACCTAAATGATTCTGTGATTAATATGAAAATTAATGAAACTAATAGATGGAAATGATATTTCACTGTAGCACGAATGTCTACAGAATTATTTTCTCTTTGGATATAACCCTCCTGTTGAAATCATACGCTGTCCTCCATTATTTTTAACCGGCTCTGCATTAGTTATTTATGAGTTTTCTAAATTCATATAAAAAATAAAACAACACATTCAGTCTTGAACAATTATTTTCTTCTAATTCAATACGGAAAAGAGCTCTATTGTATTGTTTAAATATTTATGTTTACTACTATCTTCATAGCTTACAAGAAATTTGAATTGTAAAATTTAATTTTCAGCCCCATTTATATACTTAATATGATTAATTTGTTCACTGTGCATCTTTGGTTTTCTCATAGATTCAGCAAATACTGTAATCAATTATTAAATTAGGAGTTATAAATAGAACAGCACAATTTATTTTGGTTCAGATTGGAACAGAAATCTGAAATTTGTAAGAATGTTGCTATTTATTTTGTTGAATAAATCAATTCAGGAATTCCTTTGTGAGAATGCTCTTCAGAAAATTATTGAATCTACCAGCCAAAAAACCTGTTGGCAGTAAAGATGATATAACATAGAAGACATCCTGACAATATTGTTGTTATTGACATTTAAGATCCATTGACAATGAGGATGTTGACATAAAGACATATCCTGAATGTAGAAGAATTTGTGTTAATTTCACTTTCCAGAGCTGAAATTTTGTGATAGTTCATTATTGTTAACTGAGAAGTAATTTTGAAATTTGGTTGTGTAGGTTTTTGTTTTGGTTTGGTTTTTTTTTTCCTCCCATGTAGTTCTCACAGTTTATGGTTCCTTTTCAGCACAAATCTTTCTATACAGCTTCCAGGTATATAAGATCACTGCTTCTTCAATATCAAAAAAAAAAGAAAGAATTTATTTCAGACTGAGGTAGATCCAAGTGCTGCAATTCCAATGAGGAACTAGATAAGAATTCTTCCCAGTTTCACATCTGGGATTTGCTGAGAACAGATATGGAGCCAAATTTCTCCTCAAAGTGTTTTGAACATCAGATTTTGCTATCTCTGTATGAGCCCTAAATGTATCTTGTGTGCATGGTCATCTACAGCAGCTTACCCTTTCTCCAGGTGTACCAGGTACGCCATTCTGGCCGGGTTCACCATTTGCACCTCTTTTGCCTTCCTCACCAGGAGGTCCAGGAGCACCCGGGGTGCCGTTTTCACCCTGGCAACAGCAACAAAAAAGCCCACCAGTGAAGTTAGAAGTCTCCAAAAAAACCCCTGGGTTTTGTATGGGGAATGATTCAGGGTTCAGACTTCCTTGGAAGAAGTCTCTGAATGCATTTTAAAATCACTTACACGCTCGCCTTTTGGGCCTGGATCTCCTTTTGCACCATTCTTACCAGGTTCTCCCTAAGCAGAAGAAAATACCATTAAAATTATGGGTTGCAACAGGGTATTATTCTAGAGCTACTAGATGTACTAAAATACTGAGAGGTAGACAAGGTATCTTTAAAATTATTGACTCATTTTTATTATTTTACAATCTGCAAAGGAATTAGCATGCACTGGTTGAACCTGGATGTGGAATGCATGGGGCTCCTTAAAAATCTAGTAAAGGAAAGAAGCGATACAATCTTAAACACCACTGAGTAAAATTTTATGTTTGACATCATTGAGTCTATTACTTGAAGCCCTTGAGTATTTTCTCTGACAAAAGAACTACGTGTGGTGTAAGGCTGTCAGGAAAGAGCCTGCTGGAGTAAATGACAGTATAAGAGTAGGTACAACTCACTAGGTGTAGTGGACTGTGGAGTCAGCCTACAGGTATTTAAACAGGTGAAATTAGGATTTTAAAGCAACAGATTTTGTCTAATATAGCCATTTTAGACAAGCTATTTTTTTGTTGTCTGTTTCTGAATTGATAAGATAATTTAGGAAAGCAAATAAATATCATATTCATATTTATGTATAATTTTTATATATAGCAATATATAAATGTGTGAAAAAGAAGTGTACTATGTATTTATAAAAATAATTGCCTATTGTTATTATAAAATAATTTACTAGACCATCTTAAGTGAATAGGACAAATTCAATATTTTTTTTAACGTTATCAGAACAATTTCCACCATATTTGTTTGTACAACCAGTGTAATGAATATTAGTAACTCACCGGAGTGCCTTTTGCTCCAGGGCTTCCACTTGTACCTGGAGGACCAGGAAGACCACGGCCTCCAGGCAGACCAGGAGCACCGGGAATACCAGAAGGTCCCTGTAGAGAGTGAACAGCAGATGGGGATGAAGAGGGCACGGCATTGTTGGACTCTGCCCAGTCCAGCCAGTGACCCTCACCAACACAGTGGAGCAAAAGACAGTGATATGAAAAGTACCCACCATTTCACCCTTGTTGCCAGGGCTTCCAGCTCTTCCAGGAGGCCCCTGAAAAAATAAATGTATAAATAACCAATGCTGCTAACCTAGGACTAAACCAAAGGACATGTAGCATTTTGTGAAGAGCAGGTGGCACAACACTTCTCAGTCCCCATGTGGTATTTACGTACCTGAGGTCCAGGTGGCCCAGCATGACCCTGAGGACCAGGTTCTCCTCTCTCTCCAGGACTACCACTAGAGCCAGCAGGACCAGGAGGACCAGCTTCACCCTATAGAAAAATGGTAAAAGGAGAAAATGAATGCATTTCAGTCTTGTCTCCAGGGCAATCAGTATTAGCTTCATGGTTTCTTCCTCTACTGTGGCATCTTTGCATGATTTGGAAGGAAGGTTACCACCATCATGTCCTGAGTGCAAGAGCCAAAGCAGCATGGCGACTCCAGTGCTGAGGCATAAGGTACCCATGCACTCCAGCCAGCACATGCTGCACAGCTCCTCTAGCTGTGGGAATTTCACTTGAGATCCCCTGTAATGCAACATAAAGCATTGGGTCTGCCACTTAATGATGTTTTGGGGTGGGTCTTCGTGAAGGTGATGAGGATAGGGTTTGTCTCATGCTGCATACGAAAACACATCAGTTCCAGGCTTGTGAACAAGCCTAGTAACAAGTAATAGCAGTCAGAAAAAGGAAGACTCATAAAATAAAGATGTATAGTGACATAAGCTGGCTAACTAGAGAAAGGAACAAAGCCTGTATTAGTGTGCATCTTTAGCTGAATACCTTAAAACCTGGAGAGCCTGGAAATCCTGCAGTTCCAGGGGGACCTGGGGGACCCTTAAAAGTGAAAGAAATACCATTAATGCAAGAGGTAAAAGCCATATGGAAATAATCTTAAATTACAAAAATGTCTGATTATGGGATTTTTCTTTGAGTAAGGAAACACCTGGCAAAATAGCAAATATAAATCATGCTGTAGAAGATGAAGTTTGGCTAGTCCTAAAATATCACACCTACATCTTAGGTTTTTTACATGTTCAGCTAAATATAATTTCTGTGGTGTAAATTTAAAAAACATGAAAGCTATCATTAAAGACATGAAGTTATAAAAATGTTCAAAATTTGTTCTAATTATAAAAAGGCTGTAGAGGGAAAAAAAAAAAAAGCCAATACAGCTGTTACACATACAAGTGGACATGCTTAAGTTTCTAGGCAGATGGGAAAGAAATATTTTTGCCAACCTCAGACAGCTAAATAATGTATTTGATAAGACCATTCAAAATTTGGTCTGCATAGAGAACAGCAATTCTATCCATCCATATGTTCTCTGAGAACTATCTGGTTTTGGATTTATGCATTTTCTGATTTACAGTGTTAAAACTCTCCTATTGCATTGTATGCTTCAAGTATCTTAACTAACACTGTTATGAAATATAATTAAATAAAAGGCTCATTCTTAAACCAGTGCACCCCCGGTCTTGGGTTTGCTGGCACTGCAGAACATCAGCTAGAAGTAATTAAACTTGAGCAACACAACTACTTCAAGTCAAACATCTGTAAGTCATCTTACAGGTGGGCCTGCTGCTCCTGGAGATCCGTCTTTGCCATGGGCACCCTATAGAAAGAAGAGAGGTGTTGGGTACAGAGCACTACCCCAGACACACAACCCACACGCTTTAATGCACATGACTCTCAGACCATGTTTTTATGTCTGTACATTCCCACTTAGTTGACCAAGACCCAAGGGTTCCTCAACTGTGAAATTCTAAAATAATACTTAACTAAGTATTTTGTGAAGGAATATCCAACAATTTACATGACTTGTAGTGTAATGATGAGACAGCAAGATGCAAGAGAGTATTCTTATTACATTTCTTAGGGAAATAACAGTTACAAAGTATCACCTGTGTGGACAGTTCTTAAGCTTAAATAAATAAGGTTGCAATAGATCCACATTTCAAAGTAACAGTTACTTCTAATTCACATAAAAGACTACAATTTCACTCCAAAAACCTAACAAACAGTGGTATCCTCTTGCCTGTCTTACAGACATGTTAGACCAGGTCTGCTGCTCAGATTATGTAGTGTTTCTACAAACAAGTTGCTGGTTATTATACTTCAGCTGTGCTTTGTTGATTGTGTTGGACTCTATGAACTATGACTTCCTTCAGAGCAAACAATGTACCCCTGAATCTCAGTCAAAGAGTAATTTTATCTTTTTCCTGTGAGTTACTTCTGAGATTGCATTTTTTCCTCTCTCTGTCTTCTGCTGCTGCCCTTTGCTTCCACTCCCCCTCCTCATTCCTCTTGGCTGAACCTGAGCTTATGCTGAAACACTGAAGTCTCCCTCAATGTGTAATCTATTCATTTAAAAAAATGAAATAGAAAATAAGATGGTGACCACATTGTGAGTTAGAAGTATTATGTCTTTAATTGGGGACTGAAAAGTTTTCATGTATGATTTTACAGAAGCTGTATAGTTTTCTAATTCCGTGCATTATAACTGTTTTAAGGTAAATCTATGAAGTAGGGAAGTCTCAAGTTACTGAAACAAAACATGTCCTGGTTCTGGGTAAGAACAACAGCTGCAATTACTTACAGGGCCACCAGGATTCCCAGGTCTTCCTCTTTCACCAGCTGGACCTCTTGGTCCCTAGAAAACATAAGAAAACGAGTCTGTTAAATGGCTTCCAAAATAATATGGCCAAGCAAAGAGATATTGCTCGTATTTGCATATCTCAGTATTGTTCAATGCATGTGGTGGGGTAATTAAAGTTAAAAGAAAGAGGAATAACTCAGTTAACTGGGAAGTGCCATTGTCACTTCCATTTAAATACTACAGGGTACGCATATTTACCGTTTGTCCTGGTGCTCCGTTTGCTCCAGGAAGACCAGTTTCACCCTGTTATGGAAAGAAAACACCAATGACAGAATGAACTTTGGTGAGAACATTTTTTTGTTTATTCAAGGGGAAGAGACATAGAAACAAGACAGCCTGATCCATTGCCCCTTTCTGCATGGTACTGAGTGTCCTCAGCATGAACTGAGGTCTGTGAGGTCTGAGAAGTCTAAACAAGTGCCAGAACAAAATATTTAAACAGAAAACAAAAGCCCCACCAAACCAGGAAGACTCAGTCCTTTAATATTATGCAATAAAGTCAGATTATCCAGGTATGTCCTTTCATTTTGGAATCTCATCTTTATTACAGCTGGAAAACTGGGACATGATGTGGTTCAGAAAGTCGAACTCCTTTGGAATGATTCTCATTCTTTTCATGAAGATATTCAATGAGTTTGTTTAATGTTTAATGGATTTTTATAATTGTGTAATATGCAAAGCATAGCTATATAACAAATGATGGAGGGTATTACTCTGCCTATTACAAAGATGACACTATAGTTTTTTACCTTTGGACCAGGAGCACCGCTGTCACCTTTGGCACCATCTTTTCCATCAAAACCCTGTGGGAAAGGAAAATCATATCTGTGAGTAGTATTCCTCTTGCATTCTGGAAAACTTGATTCCTCTTAGCAAAATATTAATCTTCAAGACAAATTCATATAAAGGGACAAATTTTTAATAATCAATGCTATCAGCTATTGGAACACTTTTTGAAATAAAATTCTGAATCCTCCATCTCTCCATGGCCATTAGTTAAGAGTGGATGCTTTTCTGGAAAGCATGCTTCAGTCCAGCATTCAGGATGGAGCTCTACAATTGAAGTAACTAGAAAAAATTTAAGTGGTTTTGTTATAGAAGGTCAGATTACATTGTCCAGAAATTGGCCTTTAAATCTACGATTCAGTCTCTTTAGCTGGGAATTGATGACTGAAAGAGCACAACAGTGCAACACCATAATTCAAGTAGAGTAACAAACTCAGCTCTACTCAATATACTGAATACTTACTCGTTGACCTTTCATCCCAGGCATCCCAGGCATTCCAGGGTGTCCCTTGTGACCCTAAACACACAAATATAGAAAGATTAATAAACCATATATTTACTGTATGAAAGGCACAAGCCAATGTTCATTGTATGTCATGTTCACTTGACTAACTTAAAACGGGAAAACAAAACCTTTGATTAGAAGATCATTGTTACTGGGGGCTTGTCCATACCGGTAATCCAGGGATTCCACGGTCTCCATTTCTGCCTGGTCTTCCTGGTTCTCCCTATTGAAATAAAGTACATATTTTTTACTATTTTGCTACTGTTTCAGTTACTGGCAAAGAACCAGTCCTAGTAGATCAAGGCAAGTTGGAATAAGCAGGTGGATGTTCCACAAAAGGAAGTGGGGAAAACTATAGCAGGGTGTTGGTTCACTATATGACTGCCTTCTGAAAAACAGTTGCCAGAATTTATAAACTCAATTTTTAACAGGATTTTAGTTAACAATCTAATTTCTTTCAAACCAACTTTTAGGAAGAGATGATCACAGAAAACTTATTTCTCATGGTGAAACACTCAAAAAGGACAAGAAGTTTAGCTGCCTCCCTCATCTTGTATTATACCTATTCAGGACTCCCAGTCGTGACACAGAAGATGGTTTTAACACCCTTAACTCTCAAAGCAAGATTTGAAGGGAGCAAACAACTACCACCACTGTCTGCTTTTCTTTATAACTGCTAATTTATTTTGCACCAGATCAAAACAGAATATTTCACGCTTAGGTTTTCTTTCTCTTTTTAAATTATGTCAATCAAATTGCCTACTACAATTGAAATGGTTTTGGAATGGACATTTATACCTAATGTAAGCCAAACCTAGTTTCTTACAGTCATGTTGCCAAATTGAGAAACATAGAGATGTTAAAAATTCATAAATGCAATGGTATCACTGTGCTCTCCTGTCTTACCATTTAATGAACTTTCTTTCTTCCCATTTATTAATCAGTGGATGAATAATAATAAACTTACATCTTTTCCTGGTGGACCAACTGGGCCTATCATTCCAACAGGGCCTGGAGGTCCCTGTAGAGAAATAATTAATATTAACTATAATCATAAAAAATATGAAGTCTCTTTCAAATTAAAAATTCATTAGGTGGCATAAAATACTTGTACATTTGACACACATGAGAGTAAACAGACAGGATGAACTGCAGAATTTCAGTCCTCTCCAGTGATGACACAGATTCATGCTTGTTAAGATCACGCCTTTAACTTACATAGTGATAGGTAATGTATACATACAGGAGGGCCAGGTTGTCCTGGTTCTCCGGGGGAACCTTGGTATCCAGCAGAGCCCTATAATGCATAAAAAACCCAGTTGAGATATGAACAATTACATGCACCATTCTATGGTGTTACTATATATTATAATAATCTCCTAATAGTAAGGAAAACGGTAGACAGAACTGTCAACAAACGACCAAGGGTGAAATTAGCAGAACGAAGCAGAGTATGCCTTCATGAAAAAAAACCCAAAAAACTACTCCTCTAAAAGGAGACGTATGTCACAACACTCAGACCCTTTGTGTGTTCACTGAATGTGTACTAGGATTCCCACTTTCCTTTATCTCCTGTTACATTTTTGTATGAATAAACATTTGGGAATGTTAACAGAGGATGATAGGCAGTGGCATGTCTTAAGACAACCTTAGCTGACACCCTATAGAACTGCAGAAAGCTCAGGGGAACACATGGACCTAAGCAAGCACAGTACATAGCCCTCAGCCACTGAGTCTTGGTGGTGCATAGATGGTACAGCCCATTTTACACCCCATTTAACAGAAGATAACATTTATTCATAAAATTCTTCAGCATAGTATCTAGATTTATTTGTTAAAAATGTACCTAATATTTATGAGAGAGAAAAGGAGAAGCTCATATAAAAGAATATGACATGATTATGAAAAGATTAATTTTACTTACAGGGGGACCTGCATGACCAGGTGGGCCAGGGGGGCCGCTGGGGCCAGGGGGGCCTGGAAAGCCAGTCTATAGTGTGGATGAAAAAAATAGTCATCATATTAATGTAACACAGCTATAAAGCTTAATGTAGTTGCAACAGTCACCAATAACTGTGAAATAAATTTTTACATATTAGTACAGAGAAAAATCGACGGTGACATGCACTTCGTGCAGTAAAAAAGAAGCAGCAGTATATATACATATTGTTAAATACATTGTCTAATACCTACAGTCCCTTCAGAAAAAGGATCACTGGGTTTCTTTTTGCAGCCTTAGCTAACATACTCCACAAGATATTTTCAAAGCTGTAATTTTTCTTTTGAGTCACTATTCCCCTTCTCTAGACCCCCAGAAGGATGCTCACAGCTCAGCTTTTCAGCTACCTAAACTGGAAGAGCAGATAACTGGAACTCTTAATTTGTTAAATGGAGTAAATGAGCTTCAGTGTCTCTGCCATGTAACTGAGCTTTATTAGTCTAACACCACATCTTCAGTGGTGGAGCCAAAGTGTACTAATAAACTTGCTTGCTACTCTATTGACGCCAGATTTTACTCTCTAAAACTAATTTTAAAATTGCTCACCTGCATTCAGGAGCTATATTACATATACTTATACAACAAATCAGAAGAACTTCGTATGATAAACTCTTTTTATGACCCTAGACTTCTAGAACTTATAGGTATACTGAATTAGGGCCATATTTTTGTTATTGTCAGTAAGGCAAGCATTTTCACCAGTGTAATCTTTTCTGAACTTTAACAGTACTAAGCCATAAGAAATAAATGACGTCTGGACTAACCAAAGGACTCAGAGGATGAAACCTCAATATACATATGGTTTACCTGAAATCAGTAATACTATTCCTTATTTTAACTGGTAAAAAGGGACTAAAATATTACTAAGGAAATTCTCTACTTAGGAAGAGTGCTAATATTTCTACTGCCTGTAGCAACATCCACAAAAGCATTTGATACTGCAAAACAGAAAACTTTTTAAAATTAACACAGTCATTTACTGCAGCTATCTGTGGCTCTTTAAAAAAAGCTTTTGTTCAACTCTTCATGGGTTTGATACAGCCAAAATAATTGAAGTATATGAATTACCTGAGAATCACGGTGTGCTGCAGTACTGGCAGTATCTTCCATAGCTTAATATTGTACATAATGTATTTCATGAAATATTGTCATATTGTGTCAGAATAGGTCATGTATTATAGATGTTACATGAATCTAATTTTCATAATACAAGATTAATAGTATTGCTATACTATACCAGTATACATAGTATAGTACACTACTATACTACAAATATACTATGTTAATATTCGTTCACAGATCGTCTTTTGCCTAAAAAAGAGAATCATTGTGATATTTGCTATTTTCTAGGACAAGAAATACACCAAATCGCAGAGCAATTAGTGCCTGGGTAAATCCGGTTGACTTCAATGTATGAATACAGTGAGCAGTCCCTTGCTGTTAATTGTTAGCACTCATTCGGTATGAAATAACTCTGGATTCAACACGAATTGGAGCCATCAACTCATGAATTGCAATCAATTGATTAGACACATGGCTATAAACAAACAAGACATCATTTTTTTCAAGGTGCACACTGAGGAGATAAACTGATAGTTAGGTATGACAGTTGCTTGCTCCAGACTGTGAACAAATAGGCATATTTTAGTTAGAATATGTGCACTGGTGGAAAGAGACAAAGACAATACGTGGAGGTTATACAAGCAAGTAATGAGAAACTGTGATGTAAAGTACAAAATCAGTCTACAAGCAGCGGAAAGCCACTGGGAAGATAGTAATGGAGAGGTGTGTGACTGAAGAAATACCAGGCATGTTAACCACTCACGGACAGATGTTGGTGCTGTAGTTGGCATTTTTTATTTTATTACTCTTCCAAATTATTTCAGTTTGGATATTTATTCAAACTGAGTGTTTAAGTTCAAAATTGATAAATTAGATTTATACATTAATAAATAAATTAATCTATGTAATGTTAATGATAAACATTATTTAGTTCTTGTGATTTTAGTCACATCTGCCTGTAACTGCTCTGTTACTTACTTTGCAGTCATGTATTGCATGAGGCAATATAAAAGACCGTATGACCTGAAACTATACAGGCAGTCTTGGCTGACGACATTCTAGGGTGTCCAGTTAATTTTTATTTTTATTTTTAACTGAAGTCCAGGGGTCAGAGCACAAGAAATCACTAAGCACCTCAAGGAAAACTGCCAAAATATAGAGGAGTAAAAGTAATTGTTAACTGAAAGGTATCTTGGTTATCTGCCTGGTTCAGCACATGCCATATTAAGAAACCAAGTAGCAAAGTGTAAATGATATGATAAGCTGTGGGCAAAAACTGTGAGGAGGTGAATATGAATAAATGAATAAGCAAACAAAAAAATGGATGGTTGAAGACCATGGATGAAGGAAGTTGAAGATCAATGCAAATGAACAAGGTAGAAATAAGCAGATTAAAATAAAGGTGAGAATATAATGAACTGTATTTCAGGAAAAACAGCTGTCATGATTAGCAAAATTTAATTCACAAGATGATCTGATGGAACCCCTAGAAATAACACATTTGCTTGGAACTGCCTTGATATGTCACAACACATGATTCCCAAACCTTGTTATGCAGCATTAGACTGAAAATAATGATTATGCTTAAGGAAGCAGCAGCCAATTTCAAATAATAGCAATTCACCACATCCTCTATATAGCAGATTGCCTGAATCAGGAACACTCCATGTCATCGGTGATGAATATCTCTAAATCCCAGTGCTAAAACTCAAATCTTGAGATGCAACATTCAAATTTATTTTATATGGGAAGCATAGTTCATGCACAACTCTTTCAGGCAATCCATGCTTTATCTCACTAAAAAAACTCTGAAAAGCTTGGGGCAGGCCTAGCAGGCAGATACAGCATCCTTAGAACACAGTTGGAATAGCTGTGGGTAAAAAATGGTAATTTAAAAGGAAAAAGTGAAAAGCTTTTAACTGCTTCTGGGATGAAAAAAAGATTATAAGATGCTTTTACTCACTTTTTATCAGGCAAATTTGAGTTGAGGAAAAGTAAACAAGTATGGAGTATCATACTGAGAAAAAAGACAGAATGCTGCTGAAACGGTAAAGGAAGATTAAGGACAGTGGAAGAGGTAAGAAAGTGGTGGAAGGGATGGAAGCAATTAGTAGAAGAATAAGAATACCAAAATAGGTAAATGAGGAAGGTATACAAGGGAGAAAGGGATAAATGTTTATGTAGTGTAAGAAAGTGAATCAGAGACAGATTAGGAAAAAGAAGGTAATAAAAGGAAGAAAGAGAGAAAAGGCAAAACCCCCAGATAATCTATAGTTATTTTCTAGAATGGTATTGCCAAGCAAACTGCTGCCTTACATCGCATTCCACTTGCAGGCAACAATTAAATTAAAACTTATCTTGTTAAATTAAAATCAGGATACATACACATCCAAGGTATAATCTACAAGCAGAAAATTTGTTCTTTAAAAAAAAGAAAGGATGGAAAAAAGGCTGTATCATCTTACAATGGGCTGTGGGTAACCAAGACCAACTGAACCGGCCTTCACATCATAGGAGTCATACTGTGGAGAAAAACTCTGTAAAAGAAATAGAGAAAAACAGAAAGAAAAAAAAAAGAAAGAAAAAGAAAAAAAAAGAAAAAAGGTGATTGCTACAAATCAAGTAAGTTTTTTCTTACATTGGTATGGTAAATGTATGGAAATAACTCTATTCATCTATTGAGTAGTACTTGTTTGAAATATAGCTGCCATATATTTAAATCATCCATAAGAGAAGCCCAGCCACTATCTTCCTTCTGAGATCATAGTAACGTTAGCTCGCTACACTGTGTGTACCCAGTTTTCATCTTAACAGCTGGGCCTCAGCTGAACTGAAAAATTACCTTCTCTCTCCTCTTATTCTTGTTTGACTCCTTTTGAGTTTTTTCCCTGATGTTCTTTACCACTCTCTTTTCTGTTGGACTTAGTTGTCACTCAAGGAAGTTGATGAAATATTTCCTGTTGCACTAAAGAATGCAACAGTTCATTACCATTTTTCTAACTTCTTTTAACTGTGACTAAGCAATTTCTCATTTCAGAGTATTTTGTAGCAAAAAATTTCTTACCTTTGTATAAGTCTGCCCTTGGAATTACAAACAAATTTTTTTACCTCATAAGTGGGAACTTGCACATCTCGGAAAACTGAGCTTTACACTTTTTTCCTAACGCCATTTTCCCTCTCTCCCTTTCTCCCTTCCCATTCACTGTCACTCACAATAATTCAAATAGAATCACTTTTGAGCCCAAGCAGCCAAGCCTCAATGCTTTTGACAACCTATGTTGAAACAAATGGAAGCTCAGTCCAAGGCATGGAGTGAAAACATGTCCTGTGGGCCTTTCTCAGAGCAGATAGCATCTTTGATGCATACATTTATATAAAATACTGCTTAAAAACTATAAATTCTACAGTCAGTTTTTCAAGGAATTCCCATGTAAGCCTCTTAATTGGCATACGTTGATTTTATTATGCAGATACTAGCAAACTTAGTTGAATAATATGGCATTAATGCAGTTTATGCATTAATGGCACATAGGTGGTTGAGCAGGAAAGGTTGAATACATGCGGTGTTCTGCCAGATAACCCAAACCACTGTGGACCTTTGCTGACCAGGCACAAGACAACTGCTGTGCTACTGATATCAAACCTCTCATCAGGATTCAACAGCACATCTTTGATACAGTGTTGGAATGAGTGACCAGTTCAGTCTACCATCCTCTCCTGTGTCTGTGTCTGCCAACCCAAAACCAGTAGCTCGCTTGGTATATTATTGTGATGTCCATTGAGACTGGTTAACTGATCCATGGGTGCCTTTCCCAGAAGTCCTTCAATCCCTTTCAGCATTAAATAAAACCAAGACATCTTTCCTCAGTTTTTGGCCTACCTCGGAGTGGGAAGAGTACATGGAAACTATAAACAGTGGCCTATGTTCAAAAGTAGCAATTGTTTTGACATATAATTTTTAACAGTTTTGTGCTAAAGCAATCAACCTTGTAAAGCTAAGCTTGCTCAATTGCATGGGAGTCAATATTATCTCTTAATAAAGTGCTAGCTGTGGCTCAGGTCCCTTAAGAAATCCAACTGCACAGAAACTTTAGTTAAAATTGGCTCTTGCTGAATCTGCACAACTCTTCAGAAGAGAATTCAAGATTCAGTGGGCCAGAAACAAAGAGGGTGCATGACAAATAGTGCTTACATGGCACTTCCCTGCAAGCAGAGGACCCGTGTTTCAGTCTAGTCTCCTGGGAATTTTTCTTTATTAAACATGTATTGGATAAAATATAGCAAAGTAAGAGAGTTCCCTAACCATTGCGCTTGAGGGGACATACTTCCTCCTGCACTCTTTCTTTCCAGTCAGATTATTTCTGCGTTACACAAGTCCTTCATCAGATCTGGCTCCAAAAGTTTTAAAAAATAAGAGAAGGCAGAGCTTTAATTGCACTCCAGCCAAATTTTGCAGACAAAATCCCAAAACAACAACAAAACCCCACCTAACACTCAGCTGTGTTTTTCAAAGGCACAAATGAGAGACGGACGCCACTGAAAGTAAAGTATGTGTGAAGGTGCAAGGGATAGGTGCCTACAGTATTGCTTTGTGTGCTTAAGAGCAACAAGGCGGAAGCTGAATGTAATGATGACTTACGCCTCCATTTATACTGGGACATGACTGGCAGATCCCAGGGGGGCCAGGAGCTCCAGGACTCCCTGGCTGTCCTGGAGGGCCAGGGGCACCGTTTCTGCCTGGAACTCCGGGAGAACCCTGCAAAGACACAAACAGAGCAGATACAGAAACCAGCATTTGCCTTCAACTGCAAGGGCATAATGGGACAAAATCTTCCATTTGTAACAAAGTGTATGCAATTGTGGTGGGAAATTTTCTCTATTAAACACAAGTAAGGCCACAACTGAACATTCAGGAAAGACACAGTAGGCAAAATTCACACATGGAAACACTTCTTAGTTGCTGGAGCCTAATTGCAGCTGATATTTCATCAAACACACTAGAGATACTAAACAGGTCAATTCCTGAATCTAAAATTAATACTGCTAGTGGAGTCCATAGATTATTTTTTTTTCTCCTGTGAAGAAATATACCAAAAATAACAAATGCACTACAGTTTGGATTAATGTCTCTCCCCGC